CAAGGTCCTTGATAAAATTAGTTTTTCTATGGGAAACTCAACAGGTTCTGAAGCTAGCCTTTACTTCCTTCCTCCTCAAATACAGCTGCTTGAGATTAGGAAAGTTCTGTTTATCAGAAATGAACACCTGTACATTGGGGAAAGTAATAGTACCTACCTATAGGATTGCTATGAAAATTAAACACACATCTGTTTCTGGCAAATATTAAGCATTATAAAAGGGTTACTGTTATTACCAAGTTTTTTATTCTGAAAACAAAAATATGTGGTAATTATTATTATCACCATTTTGTTGTTGGTATTGTTGTTGGTATTATTGTTATAATAAGAAAATGTAGGCCCTGGCCAGTGTGGTTCAGTGGTTAAAGTGTTGGCCTACTCACCAAAGGGTCATGGGTTCCATTCCCGATCAAGAGCATGTACCCGGGTGGTAGGTTTGATCCCCAGCCCCATTTGGGGCACAGGTGGGAGGCAACCAATCTATGTGTTTTTCTCACATTGATGTTTTTCTCTCTCTCCCACCTTCTCCACTCTCTAAAAATTAATAATAAAAAAATATATCCTCAGGTGAAGATTAACAGAAAAAAAGAAAAGAATACTTAGACTCTCAAGGTGATAAAATATCTGATCCAAATTTAAGTAGCCATATGATGTAAAGCCTAGGTTGGAAACCAGAATGTTGGAATCTAAAATCCATGTTCATGAAATGAAGTTGTAAATCGTCCCCTGTTTATTTGGCTGCCACTCATTAATAAAATGTTTTTACATATTTGAGGAAATACTTGAGAAAAACAAATATATTTAATGTATTTTGTAACTTTAGGAATATACTATATATTTAAGAAAAAAACAGAACAAAATAATCTCCGAGAGACTTTTATAACAAAAATTAAATTTTTAGTTCCTCCTCTATCATCACATAAGAGACTTTCTACACCCAAACACTTGCTTCATATGTATTGACTAAACTTCAACTGAAATTGTGACTCACTCTCCATAGTTCTTCTTGTGAAATCAATTGGCACTTTCTTTGGCTTTGCCCTGACTATGCTGCCTAATCAATAAAATTTGCCTTTTTAAAATAAACTGAACAAATAAGGTCACTGGACCAAAATTCCTTGAAATTGACTAATTTTAGATAGTATGGAATTGGTTGATTTCCATACCTTCTATGATTTCACAGATTGAATTTTTCTAGATGCTCTGCTTTTATCCCTCCCTAAGCATATATCGTTCTTGATGAAGATAGTTACAGATTATACCCTGAATAGTGCTTGTACATTTACTTTTTAGGTCAAATTCCCAATATAGAAAGCACATCAGACACTAGTGCTACTTTCTGATACATGAGTAGACTTGCAAAAGAAATTCCAAACATATTAAAGAGGAAGCATATGAAAATACTATATTCATCTGGAAAGCTATTTGACTATTTATTACACTTTAGGTGTTCATCAACTAAAATAAAATATGGTACAACTGGAAATGGGAAAATCATGGAGGAAAGAACTAAAGCATTTTTGTAGCATAAAATAAGTATATAAGGAAACTTGCTGTCTAGTTAAATGGTAAATCTATTTTTCCCACCCATATATTTGTTAAATCATATAATAAATTTGATGCATAGAACATTTATTACTAAGTAGTCTAATATTATTTAAAATTAAAATAATAAAAATTACACCATGGGTTTTCCAGCGTAAATGAAAATAATTTTATACATAATAAAAATGACCACATTTAAAAAATAAAAAGAGACAAAAGCAAAATAAATAAATAAATAAAAGTTGTAAGACGATATTTCGTTAGTGGTATTTGCTTTCATGCAGTATGTTTGTTTTGCTGGGTCTGTACAATCGCTCACCAGCACTTCACAACTAGTCTTAAGCTGAATATATTTTTGTCAAGTTAAAAATAAAGAGTTTATATTCAAAACAAACAGAATCAGACTGATAGATACAGAAAATAGACATAATTGCCAGAGTGGAGGGGGGTTGGGGGACCGGCTGAAAAAGGTGAAGGGATTGGGAAATACAAATTGGTGGTTACAAAATAGTCACAGGGATGTAAAGTACACAGAGGGAATATAGTCAATAATACTGTGATAACTATGTACAGTGCCAGTTGGGCACTAGAAATATCAAGGGGAAACATTAAAAAGTATATAATTATCTAACCACTATGCTGTACAATTGAAGCTAATACAAAATAATATTGCAAAAAAAATTTTAATAAAGTGAAAAGAAGAGTTTACATTAATTATTATTTTTAAGTTGAGAAGTTATTTTTCATATAATGAAAAGGTTTAGATTTTTGTTTGTTTTTCTTCTACCATTCAAGTTAAACTAAAAACACATTTCTAGACCTGCTCTCCAGATATACAATTAGTAGTTAGAGCAATAAATTTATAAATTGAAAATGAAAGATAGTGAGTTAGGAATTCTGAGGGATTGGAAATTTAAATACCTACAAAGAATGAATATGGAATAAAAATCAAAAGTGTTTGTAGGCTGGTAATAAAGAAAGAAGTTTTTATTATTTTTTTCTATTTATTTTATTTTATTTATTTATTTTATTAATTTATTTTTGTTACAGATGTTTCACCTTTTTCCCTCCACTGACACCCTCCTCCCCATCCCCCCTACCCCATCCCTAGCTTTGTTGTTCATGTCCATCAGTTATGCATACATGCATGTAAGTTCTGTGGTTTATCCCTTCCCTCTCCCCCTTCTGAGTATCTCTCTATTTATTTATTTATTTATTTTATTTTTATTATAGATGTTTCTCCTTTTTTACCCATTGACACCCTCCTCCTCCCCCCCCCCCCCCCGCTCCATCCCTGGCTTTGTTGTCCATGTCCATTGGTTATGCATACATGCATATAAGTTCTGTGGTTTATCTCTTCCCACCCCCCCAACCCTCCGTCTTCTGAGGGTTGTCAGTCTGTACCCTACTTCCGTGTTTCTGGGTCTACCCTATTCCTCAGACTGTTATATTCATTATATTCCATATATAAGTGAGATCATGTGGTATTTGTCTTTTTCTGCTTGGCTTTTTTCACTTAGGATAATACTTTTCAGGTCCCTCCATGTCGTCTCAAAGGATAAGAGATCTTTCTTTCTTACACCTGCGTAGTATTCCATTGTGTACATGTACCACTGCTCTTTTATCCACTCATCTGCTGATGGACACTTGGGTTGTTTCCAGATCTTAGCTATTGTAAATAGTGCTGCTGTGAACATGGGGGTACATATATTCTTTCTGATTGGTGTTTCAGGATTCAAAATTGAGAACTGAACTTCCATTTGACCCAAGAAAGAAGTTTTTAAAAACGTGATATCATCACATCCAAAATAAATATATCAATCTTTTCTAAGAACCTTTCCTTTCCAGAATTAACCATGCACCTGTCATTGAAGCCATGCCTATTTCATTCTTTATTCTGGTGTCTTGTCTGATGAATATAAAATGTGTTAAAAGACAAGTAACTATCCCAGAAATCTTATCACTTTTATTTTCTTATGATTTTAATAGAAAAATAACATTCCTGAGCATAACATTGAAAATTATAATTTTTACTTCACTCGGTTCAGTATTCTCCAAGTCTTTTCTAAGGCTAGGCATATCAAAATTGTTTTATTATTAAGACTAACATAACATCTTCCCAGCCAGTGTGACTCAGTGGATTGAGTGTCATCCTATGCACTGATTCGATTCCCAGTCTGCTTCCCGGTCAGGGCACGTGCCTGGATTGCAAGCTCGATCCCCAGTGGTCAGGGTGCAGGAGGCAGCCAATTTCTCTCTCACATCAATGTTTCTATCTCTCTCTCTAAAAATAATCAATAAAAACATATAAAAAAGATTGATATAACATCAACAAAATTAAATTCATGTTTTGCTCTTTGGCAAAACAAAAATTACCTCCATTTAATGTCTAAAAATATGCTGGTTTTTGTCACAAGACTATCATTCAGAGAGAAAATCAGCAAATGCATATTAATCCATATGCTTTAAGAACAAAGTAAATTACATGCTAGTATAATAATGAGTTTTTCTTTAATGATGATTAGCTAGTATAGAAATGGTGAACAAGGAAGATATCTAAAGTAATGTAGATGTCATTTCTGTTCACATACTGTTTGCCCTCATTATTAACATTTTCTACCACCAAGTAGTGGTACCACCTCCACAAAGGCTATCCATGCCACATTATTTCTATAAATTTTGTTTGGCCTCCATGTACCTCAGAATATTTATTCTGGAGAGCACCCTCCACTTTGTTTATTTTGACGTTTTTTCTACAACTCATCAGCCTACATTCTTTATTATAGCCACTTACCTTTTAAAATCTGTAAATGTTATTTTTACTGCATATTTTTGGATTTACTAGAACCATAACATATTTATACTATGGTAGTATTTTTTTAGGATAATTGTTGTTATTGTTAGTATTATGGTTATAAAATCACATAGATTTTGGGTGTAATGTTCCAAACTCATTTATTCATTAGCCCTAATATTTTTAGACTGTACATTTGCAGAATATATATTTAAAGTAATTTTGTTATATGTTGAGTTATAGTAGAAATGCTTGTTGGACATATTAAAATATATGAGTAATAATTGTGACTTTATTTTAAAATTTATAGCAATTCTTTGTACCTTTTTTACTATGTTGCTATTTAGGTACTATAGATAATTCTACAGTAAACTTCTTACAGAGCTTATACCATATAAGAATTATGGAGTACTTAATTCACATGCTTATTTCTCAAGCTGTTAACAAAAGGATACATTTAATTAATCAAAAGCTCTTTGGGTTTTATTTATTTATTTATTCCACAAATATTTATTAAGTCACATTTTGAGCAAAAAAAAAAAAAAATGTGGTCTCAAATTATGCATATGAATTTTAAGTTAACTAAAACTACCAGGTGCTTCTTTCACTGCACTTGGGGGAGGATGAGGGAAAAAAACACACAATAAAGAAGAAAACATTTATACTTATTGGGCAGGGGAGATATCATTATTTTGAATGTGGTTTTCCCAGGGCAAGGCTTACTCGTTGCACTCCGAATGTATTGACCCCTGCGATGTCCCCAAACGTGAGAAACTTGACTGCATAATTTGTGGTAGTAGGGGACTGCATTCGTACTCTCCCCCTAAAATAAAAAATAAAAATAAAACATTTTTACAAGACCTTTTTAAACAATGATGTATGCTATTAAAAATATAAGTATGTGACTAAAGTAGGGGTGACTTTAGGTGGTCAAAGAAAGAATTTCTGATGATAGGGTATTTGAAAAGGGACATCATTGTATTTGAACCCAAAGAGGTCCACACTAAGGCACATCATCATCAAAATGCAAAAGGTTAAAGACAAAGAGAGAATCTTAAAAACAGCAAGAGAAAAGCAGTTAGTTACCTACAATGGAGCTCCTATAAGGCTGTCAGCCGATTTCTCAAAAGAAACTTTGCAAGACAGAAGGGAGTGGCAAGAAATATTTAAAGTGATGAAAAGCAAGAACCTACACCCAAGATTACTCTATCCTGCAAAGCTGTCATTTAGAATCGGTGGACCTATAAAGAGCTTCTCAGACAAGAAAAAGCTAAAAAGGTTCATCACCACCAGTACAATACTATATGAAATGTTGACGGGTCTTCTTGAAAAAGAAGATAAAAAATATGAACAATAAAATGGCAACAAATACACATCTATCAACAATTGAATCTACAAACAAAATGAGCAAGGAGAACAGAAACAGACTCATAGATACAGAAAACGTTTTGTTGGTTGCCAGATGCGAGGGGAATTGGGTGAAAAAGATAAAGGAATTAAGAAGTACAAATTGGTTGTTAGACTGACTAACCTTAAAGGGAAGGGGGGAAGTGGGGTGGGAAGAGAAAAACCAAAGAACTTATATGCATATATGCATAACCAAAAGACACAGACAATAGTATGGGTAAGGCAGGAGGGGTTTGGGAGTGGAGAGGAGAGAGTCAACAGGGAAAAAAGGAGGGACATCTGTAATAAATTCAACAATAAAGATAAGTTTAAAAGAAGAAATGCAATAACAAGAAGAATGAAATCTACTTTTCAAGTTTTTATGAACTAAAACTTTGAATACGAAGACGAGTGAGCAGTAATGTGTAATTTTTAAGATGTTAGATCATATGATTGTTTTTCCATTTAATTTTAAGTTGTTTGGATCAACCCACAGTTAGATATAATTTCAGTATATTACTTCATATAATTGCCTTTCTTTAGGGGCACACATAGCTCCAATTTTTTAGGTATAGTGTCTGTTTCTTGTGCCTTGACCTTCAAAGTGCATGATCTTTCTCTTCTACAAAGCAACATAAAATTATAGGGGCTGATTCCAATTGTAGTACTTCACATTCAAGTACTAATAAAATTTGAGACAAACAAATATTTGTCTGGTTACCTCTTATACAATAACCTGAGAAAGGTAAACTTATATAAACAAATTTATTTTTATCTTAAAATGTACTTTTAGTATCTTCAGGGTGTCCCTGCATGTAGAAGAGCAGAAAATAAATTTTTACAGTTAGACTTGTCAGTACTTTGTAAGCCTCTGGTAAGTACTTCTGGACTGGAGGAGGACACTTACATCTTCCACAGACCTTAATGAATCAGATATAATGGGGAATAAAAATTTATCAATAAAAGTAATTTAACATGATAGTTGCCTTCAGTAAGTTGTTCTACAAGTTAATTACTTTTAAACCAATACAATTATCTAAGAGCACAGGAAAGCTTTTTTATATACTTATTAGTAAACTAAACAAATTATTCTAGTAATATTTTAATGTTTTTCCCAATTAATATACATTAATTCTGTATATCAAGTCTGTAATTTATAGTTATTTCTCCCCTATTGGATTGAATTGGTTTTTACTGGACAATTACTTTTAATTTTATTTCAAATCAAAGGTACACACACACACACACACCCCCCCCACACACACACAATGATTCTTTGTATCTTTTATACTTCAATGGCTGAACTTCACATTTGAATCCTCTAGACTGTCATCATAGTTGTGGGAAAACAGTTATTAAATTGAGCTTTAAAGACTGTCTAATGTGTTTTAAAATGTTGCATTTTGTAGAGCAATGGAGGAAAGGAAGTGGAACAAATTATCCAGTTAGCTAAAGATTTCAAGTTCATTTTAGGTTCAATCACTTAAGTCAATTGCATTTGAAATTTTTAGATGTAATTCTTTCTGCAAATTTTAGATCCCAGGTGGCATCAAATGCAGTATTATAGATCTAAAGCTTTTTGTTATAGGAGACTTGCAGCATTAATAGACTGACACTGTTTGGATAACCTCAATCATTCATAAGCCTTTTAAAATACATTTATCATTTTAGAGTCTAATAAACCAACAGAATTCAATTTCCATGTTACTTGAGTCTTTGAATCTCTTACCAGAATTCTGACATCCATTAGCCATTGTCTGAATTAGGTGACTGCTACAGTGAAGAATAAGCCATAACAAATCATCTCATTACAAAGATAATATACACAACAGCTGGAGTTTTTCTTTGTCTTATGCTCATTCTGAGTGACAGAAGCTGCTAGCTGTATTTTCCCACTTTCTGAATAATGTTTTTGGCAGGTTCAGAAAGCCATGTGCTTTGCTAAAAGTGTTCTTATGGTGCAAAGAAATAGAAACCAGCAACTTCTCATGAATTTAGTATTTTTCTTTTATTTTTGTTTTTGCCCATAATAATCAATTCAACCATTTATTTAAATGTATTTGTATGATATTTCTATTCCTCTGCTTATGCTTCACTTATCTTACTTTTAGAAAATGTCAATACCAAAATGTTTTAGTACTGACATTACTTTATATGCCTTCAAATGACTTTATATTAGACTTTGCCTTATTGGATACTCAATATAAAACATTTTTTAAAATTCCTAAAACATGTAGACATTTGAATAAAATCAAACTAAATAACATTTTAACAATAAAAACCAGAGAAAAATTAAGATACAAATTATTCCTTAATTTATCTCTTATTTTTGAATGTAGAAAAATTACTGAAACACCTCTGAAAGATTTATATCTACTTGCTTACATCATTATATACATATTTTTATTTATCGTCCAATTAGTACTCTTATAAAGACAGCATGACTTTAGCATTGTTTGTCATGTTGAATATCTCTTCATGTATACTTTCTTTTTAAGCAGTGATGCCAAGCATAAAAAAATGGGTGACCTATTTAAAAATTATCATGTTCACTATTTGCAAAAGTATCAAGTTATATATTTTGTACAAGTACTTTTGCTCCTTCTCCTTCCCTTTCTCTCTCCCACCTGTCTTTCTCTTCCAAGGATGCTCATGATACAATGATCCATGCCTGGAGGGACTGTCTCACTAACTTCACTAAGAAGTATAATCAAGCCACAGAAGACTTCGTCTGTCATTCCAGCTCTTCTCTGTACTTGATCCCTCTACACACAGTTCAGCCTCAGGACAAAGCATGACACAAGCAGAGGCAAAAGAAATCTGTAAGGATTATCAACTATGGGAATTAGATAGTGTTTTTTTATTTTAAAAATTTTCATCAATTATAAGGAGTGAGAAAAGAGGGAAAACATAGAGGTTTTATCCTTAAATGTGCAATGGCTAAGAAGAAAACAGAGGTGAAAACAGTTCTACTGAATAACAAATCAGAAATTGGTAAAGCAAACATCAAGTTTAAGTTTCTTTGCTAATGATTACCTCTCCTCTCCTCTTTGAACATTGATGTTTGATAAGTTATTCATATAAAAGTTAACCAAGCCTATTTGCACATCATTCTCTCTTAATCATTTTATTACCATTATCCTTTATATTATTTTTTCTCTAAAATATTTCTGCCACTTGAAAGGCACTAAAACACATATAAGTGTGTTGGGGGGTTGGTCTTGGATATATATACATGGTTGGCAAAAGTAGGTTTATATATTTAAAAAGTAGGTGTATATATTTAAAGCACTCACATTTAAAATAATTTAATTACATATAAATGTTGTGTGTGTGTGTGTTTGTGTGTGTGTAGCATTGTGTCCAAAGATAGCTCCAGAAGCAGATGACTATACTAACCAAAATGGAACCTGTTCTGCTTAGTCATATGGACTAGAAAATACACTTATTCACCTGTTTTCCAACCTAATTATTTTGGAGCACAGCAGCTGATAATTATATTTGTAAATCTCAAACTTGTTTTAGTTTGTTATTGCATTAATTCTTGTCTTATTTGGAATATTAAGCACTGTGTCTGTTTTTAGAAACACATTAGTGGACAAGAGAACATGAGCCCTGCATCCAGGCAGCATCAAATATAGTTGACATCCCATTCAATCTACTGCAGAAGCCCAGCTCAGTCCTATGGCCTCTGACATATTGGAGTCCCATGCTTGGTCCCTTGGAATAAATGTATAATTATCCCCCATAGAAAGATAGAAAGATAAATTATCTTAGCTCTATTTTCACTTTAACCACCATCCTTTTGTCTTTTCTTTCTTTCATATTTTTGCAAAATGTAGTAACACACACACACACACACACACACACACCATTCATGCTGTTGCACATCACAAGTAATTTAACAATTCCTCAAAATGAAGGTAATTCTTCCTTTGTAAGAGACCTAATGATTTCTATAACAAATGATTGCTGTAACTTACACAATATTTGTACAAAAACAAATTTCTTGAAATTCACATATTCTTCCAATATACATAATACTGCATCTTTCTAGTGAACATCGTTTATTCCTTCCTTCTTAGATCCATGTTTGCACATGAGAATCCAGAGTAAATTATTTCTATGAATTCTCAGCTATATGCCCCTTTTCAAATTCCTTAGCCTCAATTATTTAATTTCTTTATCCATATATCGGGGATAATAGTATTTCTCTTGTAGAGTTGTCATAAGAACTAAATGAAACAATCATGTGATACATTTAAAAATGTTCCTGGTATACAGCAAGTGCTTAGTAAGGGCTATTATAGTTACTTGCTCACTGTTACTTACTCTCCAGGGGAAACACAGACATGCTATTCTGTAAAGTGGTTACTAACACATGAAAAAATCAGCTGCCATTGTTCCTTCAGTATTCACATAGCACCTGCCTGTCTTAT